AGGATCTAGATCTTCCCTGAATGTATTTAGACGAAAACGTCCAAATCCGAGATGGTTCCGGCAGTTGGAGGCGCGCTCAACCGGGGCGGGGTGTGAAGGTCTCCATCGTTGACAGTTGACAGTTGGAGGCATCTGAGGGTAGATAATGAGTCGACAGTATTGTCGAAGATAAATATTCTCTTCTAGAAACCGACAGCTTTTAAAGGAACAGTGCTGTTTGAACGACAGAACTCCTCAATCTAGCATGCGTTTGTTCCTTTTCTCCCCCGCTGGTTCAGGTATTTACATACAATACTACTCCGTAGAACTGGGCCATTCAGCCACAAACATTCCTCCCTTGAACTTTCACCACCATTGCAAAGTCCAGATTCGCATCGTAATGTTTAATGCAGTAAGCGTACAGTGCGAGAACTACCCTCAGCTTATCTGGCAACGACAATTGGAGGGGCGATCTCCAACGTGGGCGGGATGATTCGTCAGGCTTGGCTCGGCCGTAACTAGCGGATGCCCCTGAATAGAACAACATCAGCCAGTTCCTGTTGCAGCTACAGTACCTGTACATAGTACCTTGCATCCCTCCAGCAGTTGCCCCTGTACACGCGTCAAATCAGCTTTTGCAGACTTCGGGTGACACACGGCCGGGGGTACCAGTACCTGAGCATGAGAATTGTCTCGTTCCCGTCATCCACTTTGTTCGTGTTCAACTGGCTGAGGGGCTTATTAGTGCTAGTCAGTCACTGCAGGGTCGACCACCCCGTGCTGAGCTTTGTGGCTCCTCCACTAACATGCATCAAAATGCTAATTTCAGTCTTTCAGAGGGGAAAACCCTTCCATAACATTTTTTTTTTTGGATTGCCGCGCCTCACCCTTGATTGATTCCTGGCTTGCCTTGCCTCCAACCAAAATAACAATCATAGCCCACACCACACCCCCTGGATGAGATTTGGAGATCTAGTCAACATTGCCTATTCCCCTTTTACCCACTGAAGTACCCTTCTTCATCCCAAGCCATCCCTCTTATTCCTTTTTTCATTTCCTCCCTCTTTCTTCTTCTCGTACCAGAGACGACTTCTTGTCTTGCTGCCTTGTTTCTTCAGTCTTTCTCTTGACCTTATCCCTTGCGAAACAAGGCCACCTTGATCCAAAGTCCAAGGAAATCAACCTTTTTTTCGCCTTTTTTCTCTTCTTTGAGACCTTGTCTCTCCTGGGCCCCGCCAAATTGCATATCAAGCACACCTCACCTTTTCCGATTCTATTCCATTACAGGACTCGGCTGTCCGTCCGCTCGTTTGCGCGTCCCCCCTAAAATCTGTCTTCAAGGGGTCTCTTATCTACAACCACGACTTTTCTCGCCGACAGCCTCAACCATCTTCAATCACATCCCTAACATCACCAACAACCAGAATAATCATAATGTCGGCTGACGAAAAGATCCGCGTCTCGGGCGAGACGCCTCGTGCGACCACTCCTGTTCTTCCAACGGTTAACCCCAGTCTCGAGAAGTCACAGTCTGCTCGCGCTTCAGTTCACCCTACATTCTATGTTATGTCAGTAGTTTTCTCGACTATCCCACGAAGTGACTTGACGATGCGCCAGAACCGTTACTAACCCCATTGTGCAGTGCATGGATTGGTTTTTCATCATCTGTCATTCTGTTCAACAAATGGCTCCTTGATACCCTCAACTTCCGTACGTTGTCAACCTTGTTGGGGCATCTGCTCCTTTGCTGACATTTCAACTTCCAGGATACCCCGTCATTCTTACGACCTACCACTTGACCTTCGCGACAGTCGTCACTCAGATCATGGCCCGATGGACTCCTTACCTTGACGGCCGCAAGACCGTCAAGATGACAGCTCGCGTTTACGTCCGTGCCGTTGTGCCCATCGGTATCTTCTTCAGCTTGAGTTTGATCTGTGGAAATTTGACATATTTGTACCTCTCTGTTGCTTTTATCCAGATGCTCAAGGCCACCACACCTGTCGCCGTTCTCATCTCTGGCTGGATTTTGGGTGTTTCTGCTCCCAACCTCAAGCAGTTCCTCAATGTCTCCGCTATTGTTGTTGGTGTGATCATTGCTTCCATGGGCGAAATTCACTTCGTCACTGTTGGTGTGCTCTTCCAAATGGGCGGTATCATTTTTGAGGCCCTGCGACTTACCATGGTCCAGCGCTTGCTGAGCTCCGCTGACTACAAGATGGACCCTCTCGTCTCTCTGTACTATTTTGCTCCCATCTGCGCTGTCATGAACGGTGTGGTTGCTCTTATTTGGGAGATCCCCAGGTGCTCGATGGCCGAGGTTTACCACGTCGGTCTGTTCACTTTCTTCCTTAACGGTCTTTGCGCTTTCTTGCTCAATGTCTCCGTCGTCTTCCTGGTATGTTTCCCTTGACAATCCTTGCGCAACTTGATCCTAACGAGACTATCAGATTGGCAAGACTTCTGCTGTCGTCCTCACACTTTGCGGTGTTCTCAAGGATATTCTCCTGGTCATTGCTTCCATGATGATCTGGGGCACCCAAGTTACTGGTCTCCAATTCTTTGGTTACTCCATTGCTCTTGGTGGCATGGTCTACTACAAGCTCGGCTACGAGCAGATCAAGGGCCACATTGCTGATGCCAACAGACAGTGGGCTGAGTTTGGTGCTCGCAAGCCCATTCTCCGTAAGGTCACCATCATCATTGCCACCGCATTCCTCATCTTCACCTTCTTCGGTGGTCTTGCTCCCGGTTACTCCTCAGAGGTTGATCCCACTAGACTGGCTAACGAGGTTTCTAACCGTTTCGGCATCAACGATGCCCAGCACGTCTAGAGTTCTGTATTATACGGTCTCAATGTGAAGCAAGACCCGGACGTTTGGTTGACGGGGCGAATGGCGATCAAAGGAACCTCTTTTCTATATCCGTTATTTCCTTATGTATTACGCCCAACCAAGTTGTTGAACTTGGTCCGAATGTGTCCACAGTCGAATTGACTTGGCGCACTTTTCTGTGGATTGGAGACTTTTTGATATATTCTGTTTGATTGGGGAAGGGAGGGTCTTATGAAGTGTAAAGCCATAGAGCTGGGCGCAGAGCGCGAGGTAGCGGTTTCATGCATGAACCGCATCACGAAAGGTCTAATTGATGTGTAACTCTAGACGGCGTTTGGCCATAGACATGTAGAAACGAAACGGTTAATAAAACCTACCATAACAAAAGTTCATTGATCTATTTTGCCTCTTTCCTTTCACCGGGTTCTGTATGTGTGCATGTAATGTACGTTTTGACGGTAAATTTTAATTCATGTTATGGATTTCGTAAACCTCGTAGACGTTCAACCGTCAAGAAAAAGTCCTCAAGGTCTATTCAACACCTCATTGATGGCATCAATTCATTGAACGCCGCCAGTGGTATCCTTCGGTCGGGACAACACGTCCGTCCGATCCGCGTTGTATATTGACGCTACAATCACGCGGCAAGTAGAGATCTGGTTGTGATTTAAGAAACTTCATATTGAGCCCATAAAAACCGGCGTTCCTTAATGCCATCGATGCTCTGTACATCCCGCCAACTCCCTAACCGTGATGGAGAAACGATTCCTTTTTTTAAAACTCTGCGGTGGGTGGTCAGCAACGCTCTAATTCATGTAAATGCGAAAAGCACTCGGCGGGTTTTGGTGCAGCTCTGCTCGAGTGGTATGGCGCAACGATGGTGTAACATACTGAGAGGGGTGAAGAACCATCGGTTCTTGCCGCTGGTGTATCGCTCCTCGAGCACCTTCTTGACAGTCTTCTTGGCATCCTCGCGCTGGGAAACCTCCTTGAAGGTGTCGTTGGAGACGGCGCCCTTGAGGCCCTCGAGCTCCAGGGTGTAGCGTGTGGGCATCAAGTGGTTGTAGTTGATGACCTTGATGAAAGGCTTGATCTTGTTTCGCTTCTCCTGGCGGGTCTTGGACATGCGGCGGGTGATCTTGGAGGGGTATCGCTCAATGCCGGCAACCAGGGCGTGGCCGAAAGGGTGAGGCTTGTTGCCGTTGTCAACGGGCTGGATGATGACAACCTATGTGAAGCATATCGAGTCAGCGAAATGTTTGTTTTTTTGAAAGAAAACGATGGCACAGAGCGTTTCCAATCATAGCATTCCCGCGAGTTCTGCGCTCCGTGTCTTGTCATATAAAACACCAATGATCTCTTCGTTTCAATCCCTTCCCCCCGACCCTATCTTGCTCGGATGCCGCAGAACTCGGGAAATGCCATGGAATAGCAGTACAAAATTTGTCGAGGTCGTACCTTCTTTCCGGCGTATCTGCCGCGGGTGATGATGGCGACTCGGCCGACCTTGAGGAACTTCATCTTGTCCGGCGGTATGTTGTCTGCTGGTTAGTGAAGTTGCGAGGAGTTGTCAAGACAAGTTCAAATTACGCACCAAAATATTTTGTGTGGGCTGGTGGCAAGCGAGACCCAGCTAGTCACATGACAATATTTCCTTTTTTCGGAGCGTCCTGTGTGAGGGTCCGTGCATGAGAATCTGCCCTGAACTTTTGAGGCATTCTGTATTACGTAAGCCAGTTGGCGGCTTCAATTGTATGGATGGATGGGTGGGTGTTAGGCAAAGCTCCTCCATTGAGCCACCTCACCTCATCAGTATTCATATACTTGATAAGATAGAAATCTAACAATGCCTGCACCAACATATATCATCTCCCGTGCTGCGGATCCGATCTTCGGCATCTTGATTGGCCTTTCAGCCGCTGCAACCAGAATCAACCGTGAAGAAAAGGACAAAGGCCGAACAACTCAACAGACTCTTGAAGCTGCACGACGGTAATCCCGCAAATCATTAGCTGCAACTAGGATAAAAACTGACTAACAACACAGACGAGTTGGACTTTCTTCCAAGTCTTCATAATTATGTCTGGGCTTGCTTTGGCACATGAATCACTACGGTTTTGCCAACTTTCAATACCATAATGGCATGTCAAGCCTTTTTCGATATTCTATCTCATTATATACATGCACTTAGTCACCAAAAGATGGGCCGTATTCCTTCTTCATCGCTTCTCGAACAATTTGTCCGCAGAGTTTCGCCGTAGGGTTGACACTTACGGCCAAACCCTTTGCAATTGGATTTCCATACTTTCCACCAAATGCCAGGTCTCGAGATGCGGCACCCTCGAAGTCGAGTCTTTCCCATTTGGATTCTTCGAGGATCCCATCGATATCCAAAGAGCGACTTAGCATTAGTCTGGCTGTTTTCAGATATAATGCAGCTCGTTGGGTGTGAGCCATAGACAGAGTGCGCGCAGCCTGAGGAGAAACAGGCATGCTTAGTGATGAAGGGGTAAGAAGTGCGATCGACGCTTCGATATCGCTCAATGCTGTTACAACAGCCTTTTTCCTTTCCGCCTGGTCGGGTGACTCTATTAAGGGCGCGGAGGTGTCTCTGGTATCGGAGAGCATCATCGCATCTCCATATAGCCGCCTAAGGATCTGTACACGGTTGTTTCTGGCGCTGGCGTAGTTGGGATACTCGGCAATCATACTCTCAACCGCCGAAAGGCTTTGCTGATAGCCCTTGACAGCAACATCTTTTCCTTCCTCAGATCCAAGACTCTTCAACTGGGTTTCAAGGCTCTGGATGGAACGAATTATGCCTCGCTCCCTCTCGATTACTCGCTCATATATCGTGGCATCCGTAATGTTTGGGTCCCGTGGTAATGAGGAGTCTAGAACGATACCGGCATATGGGTTTGACTCCGGATCCTTGATTTTCTCGAGGATATTGATATCGTGTTGGCTTAAGCATACTGATGCCATTTCGACTGTTGTCGAGCAGTGGCTGGGCAGATGAAGATAACTCAGTGATTCAATTTGAGACCTGCGATTCTGATATTTGGCGAGGACGATAGATTCAGGAAACTACCTCGGGAGGTGTAATTCCTTGGACGTTCGGAATCTAATGTGACGTGCTGAGCGACAGAGATGGCACTGAAAAGGGCTGGCTCAAGGGTTCTAAATATGATTCCTGGTACGGGCATGCCAGATAAGCCGACCTGCTTGAGAGACGATCTCGGCTTTAGCGGGAGGATCAATACTCAGGCGACTAGTTCTCTGCATTGTCGCGCATCTCTCATTCGCAAGGATGTTTCGGCCGGCTTTGCTGCTGACAGTTCCGCAGTCCATCACAGGGCATGCCGCCATAGAGTACTTGTTAAGCCGTGTTGGGACTTCTGGAAGTAATCGGCCAATGTCGGCTTGGGGCGGCTGGCGCCGCAGCGGGACGCTCGGCCGGGGAAGTTCCGCAGTGATAACCTCACAACCACCATCAAGAACCTTCGGCACTACCGCCTTTGAGATCGATCAATAGGGCTCTTTTGGCTCTGTTGATGATATCAATCAGACCGCCGTCTGACGCGGAAGCCCCGCGCGTGACCCTTAACCCTGCCATGACGGGTATGGCTTTGCTTTCCTACGCCGCAAACCCCATTGGTTCCCAGTTTCATTGAAACTCTGAAAGCCAACGAGGATGTTACCGATGGATATGACTGGTATGAGTTATCTCCTGCTTATCCTGGCAGGCCTTTCTTGGGCCGTATAATGCCTTCTCCAGGCGGAGCCGTTCCGTGTGAGAGATGACAAAGAAACAAGCAATACTTGTTGCTTCATGGTTAAGCCGGGCTTGAAGCAAATTGGGATTTCTTATATATACTCGGCCATAGCCCCCCATCTCATACATAGCCATCAATTCAAGTCAGTTAACAACAACTTCCTGTATACCTAGCTTCTCGAAGTCACCACACGGAAACAATTCGACCCTGAAACCCAAGTCTCAAACAAACATTTACTCTATTCTGATATCAAAGACTCACCCATCAAACCGTCTGTGTGTCAATGTCCCCTTCTGCCATCACCAACTCCCCTCCTCAGCAGGCAACTCAGCCTACTACTGTTCCTATCACTTCTGCCCTCGACCAAGCAGACAACACTTTTGCGGTTCAGCCGCCCCCTAACTTCACCGGCTATGATCACATAACCTGGTGGGTTGGCAATGCCAAACAGGCTGCCTCATATTACACCAATCTTTTTGGTTTCAAGCCCATCGCATATAAGGGGCTCGAGACTGGAAGCCGATACTTCGCCTCGTATGTCATTGAGAACAACGATGTCCGCTTCGTTTTCACCTCGCCTCTGCGATCAGAGGCTCATTTCCCAGACGATGAACCTATCTCCAAGTCCGACCGAAAGCTTCTCAAGGAGATGTACGCTCATCTCGAACGCCATGGCGACGCCGTGAAGGATGTTGCCTTTGAGGTCGAGAATGTCGACGGAGTATATCACAAGGCCGTTCAGGAGGGTGCTATTGCTGTTCAAGACCCCAAGGTCAGCAAGGACAAGGAGCATGGATCCGTCTCCACAGCCGTCATTTGCACATATGGTGATACCACCCATACCCTCATCTCCCGTCAAAACTACACAGGGCCCTTCCTCCCTGGCTACCGAACCTGGAAGAAACATAGTGCCACCGTGTCTCTGCCAGATGTTCCCTTGGCCCGCATCGACCACTGTGTCGGTAACCAGTCCTGGAACGAGATGGACTCAGCCTGCGCTTTCTACGAGCAATGCCTTTCCTTCCACCGTTTTTGGTCTGTGGACGATTCACAGATCTGTACCGAGTTCTCAGCTCTGAGCTCCGTTGTCATGGCTTCACCAAATAACATTGTTAAGATGCCCATCAATGAGCCAGCTCTCGGCAAGAAGAAGTCCCAGATTGAGGAGTACGTCATCTTCAACTCTGGACCTGGCGTCCAGCATATTGCACTTCTAACTCCCGATATCATCACCGCCGTCTCAGCCCTACGCGCTCGTGGTGTCGAGTTCATCGACGTTCCACCTTCATATTACACTGACATGCGCCATCGTCTCAAGACAGAGCGTCGCAACTGGGAGCTCAAGGAAGAATTTGAGACTCTTGAGCGTCTCAACATCCTAATCGACTACGATGAGGGTGGTTACCTGCTTCAACTATTCACCAAGCCCCTTATGGACCGACCCACGGTCTTTATTGAGATCATTCAGCGCAACGACTTCGACGGCTTCGGCGCTGGTAACTTTAAGAGCTTGTTCGAGGCTATTGAGCGTGAGCAAGCTGAGCGTGGCAACCTATAAAAGGGATGTCTCTGAGATGGGGCGTATCAAGGAGGGGAAATCAAAATTGCGTCGCATATGGATACACATAGCCCTTTTTCCATGGGTAGGTTTCAAGGAGGACCAAACTTTCGTTGGACCATGAGATGAGTTTGCGATGGCATATCATTATTACAATCAATACTGGACAGCGATACACCCCACCAGTGCCTCCGGAGCCATTTGCTCACAGGAATACTTAGACTGAAATGCAATAAAACTTGATGGAAACTTTAGTTCCTCATGCGCCGCTTCCAGGTCGTGATGTGTGACGCTTACTCACAGCATTTATGACGTGAATGAATGTTGCCTCTTCTTTTGTTCGCTCTTGGGATAACAACCTCCTCTCTCTTTTATCTTAGCTACACATAATGACACATAGATTTTTCACATATACAGTTTCAACCTCTAGGCCATTACAACATCACCGTTGGTATATGCAGCTGTGCCGTTCGGCTCACCCATTGAGGCCGCGGTATCTGTTTTGGATAATAAGCTCTGGCAGCCCGGACAGTTGTGGACAACTTCATGGGCAAAGACGTCACAGTCGATGCAAAAGTGTTGTCCACACACTTCACATGCATATCGCCCACTTTCACTGACGCCCTTGGCTGTCTTTGGGGCGCCACTGTCTTCTTTAGACTTGTCGGGTGCTTTGCCCTTTGGTGGCTCAGGGAATGGCGCTAAGCATGAGAAGCAGGCTGCAGAGCGATTGGCTCTAGTCCAGGGCACCTCGACCCAGTTCCGTAACGGGAAGAGATGATGATATGAGCGGGCAAGGTGCGTCGATAGAATAAGGGTGAGGTCGCAAGCTGGACACTCAGCTGGGATGCGGCACACACGAGCGCCACAACGGGTGCAGAGATATCCCTCTCGGAACGGCCGATTATGGCACGCGCAGTAACTTGTAGTCCCGTTAGGAACAAGTGTTCGGGACGGGAAGCCCATCATGAGAAGACTGGCTGTGCTCTGTTCCGCCGTGCGTGTCACAGGAGGAGTCGTGGCTGCGAGGAAAAGTTCGCGGAAATGGACCTCGTCCATCGCGATGTTATATTGTGACTCGTCACCGGCGTTCGTTCGTAAGCAAAGATCAGCGCAAATAGCAACCTGGGCGGAAAGACCGACAATGGAGACACGTATTCGATCCGTTATCAGGTTGCCAATGGTTTCATGGATATCCCCAGGGTCGCTCGATAGCAATGCGCCATAGATAATAAGTACTTCTCGTGTGCCGTGAGAAGGCGCATGGCTATAGCAAGTCAGTTCGACTATTCCTCTATCGTGGCCCAGTTAGAAACTCACAACAGAGCTCCTCGACACATCTCCAGAGCGTTCTGCAAGCTTGGGTTGCCCTGGGGATCTTCGTTTTCCAGCCCTTTTAGCTTTTCCAAGTGTTCTGCCGGGTTTCCTCCAACATCGCTGATCCTCACAGCAACTCCGTCTCGCATACCAATGATTCCTAGTTGCGAAATAGGATTTTGTTCAAAGAACTCTCGCACAAAGGCTGCCGCGTAGCTCAGCATGAGGCGATACCTTGTAGGTAGCAGATCTTTCTCGGTCATAGCGAAGGACATATCCAGCACAAGCACCATATGTCGAATAATTCCCCTTTGTAGGGGCGTCGTATCGCGTAGTAATCGCTTTCGCTTCTCAGCCTCAAGCGCTGTGAGACTAAGTATTCCATCTTCTTCCTCTGGTAGATTCGTCTCCCACGTTCGTTTCGAGACTTCCCATGCTCTAGCTGAGTCACCTTTTCTCGATTTGGCAGATTTTCCTTTCGCCGCTTGATGATCGTCGTCAGTGACGCGGTGATCCATGAGATCATCGTCCGACATGTCGGCGACATACTCCCCGTCAGAGTCGGCCATGATCGTGGTTGTTTAGATCGTACTTTGGTCAAGAAACGAAGAGGTCGAGGCCGATTTTGGTAATAGGAACGAGCTATAAAGTTGGAAGCAAGCCGATGGCTTACTTTGGGGGTAATGTTAGTTAAGGAGGAGAACAACGAAGATGTTGATGCTGGTGACGGAATCAAGTTCACAAGGCTGAAAGAGGTTTGCAGCCTTGCCTACGAAGATCCACTCTTGAAGTTTTAGAGTTGCACCTAACCAATCGCGCAATCACAGGAAGAAGCTTGGTTTTTCGCTGTAGTTTGGCGGCGACCGCTGCTACGACATAACAGCCAACGACATGGCCTGTTATTCACGTAGCTGACATTGGGGTAGGGTTAGCAGTTCATCTGGTTTTTGAAAATTCTTCTTTCAGTGTTTAAATGAACTTCGGTTTCTTATGCATTAGTCGCTCATCAGGGTATAACTTCGAAGTCGAAAACTAATAAATACTATATCCAAGCTGGCGTATAACAGGTTATTCTACAACAGCTTGTAGAATCATACAACCCAACAACTGTTCTTAGATCCAGGCCTATTGGCAGAACTGCAACGCGATCCTCCTTCCATATCTCAACATGATTCGCAGATAACTCTTCCTCATGTAAATACCCAACCACCGGTCTATCGAGTTGCGTCGCATAAATAGCCGTATAACCCAAATGAAAATCAACTTCGTTTTGCTCCAGAAAAAATCGTATTCGTCAACGTATGTACGTCGTTCGACCGTGAGCTCGGCCGCCG